AAAGAGAAGGTTGGTTAAAGCAAAGAGAAGGTTGGTTAAAGCAAAGAGAAGATTGGTTAAAGCAAAAGTTGGTTAAAGCAATGAGAAGTTTGGTTAAAGCAATGAGAAGGTTGGTTAAAGCAGAGAGAAGGTTGGTTAAAGCGATGAGAAGGTTGGTTAAAGCGATGAGAAGGTTGGTTAAAGCAAAGAGAAGATTGGTTAAAGCAAAAGTTAGTTAAAGCAATGAGAAGGTTGGTTAAAGCAGAGAGAAGGTTGGTTAAAGCAATGAGAAGGTTGGTTAAAGCGATGAGAAGGTTGGTTAAAGCAATGAGAAGATTGGTTAAAGCAATGAGAAGGTTGGTTAAAGCAATGAGAAGGTTGGTTAAAGCAATGAGAAGGTTGGTTAAAGCAATGAGAAGGTTGGTTAAAGCAAAGAGAAGATTGGTTAAAGCAAAAGTTGGTTAAAGCAATGAGAAGTTTGGTTAAAGTAATGAGAAGGTTGGTTAAAGCAATGAGAAGGTTGGTTAAAGCAATGAGAAGGTTGGTTAAAGCAATGAGAAGGTTGGTTAAAGCGATGAGAAGGTTGGTTAAAGCAATGAGAAGTTTGGTTAAAGCAATGAGAAGGTTGGTTAAAGCAATGAGAAGGTTGGTTAAAGCAAAGAGAAGGTTGGTTAAAGCAAAGAGAAGGTTGGTTAAAGCAATGAGAAGTTTGGTTAAAGCAATGAGAAGGTTGGTTAAAGCAGAGAGAAGGTAGGTTAAAGCGATGAGAAGGTTGGTTAAAGCAATGAGAAGATTGGTTAAAGCAATGAGAAGGTTGGTTAAAGCAATGAGAAGGTTGGTTAAAGCAATGAGAAGGTTGGTTAAAGCAAAGAGAAGATTGGTTAAAGCAAAAGTTGGTTAAAGCAATGAGAAGTTTGGTTAAAGCAATGAGAAGGTTGGTTAAAGCAAAGAGAAGATTGGTTAAAGCAAAAGTTGGTTAAAGCAATGAGAAGTTTGGTTAAAGCAATGAGAAGGTTGGTTAAAGCAAAGAGAAGATTGGTTAAAGCAATGAGAAGGTTGGTTATAAAGCAATAAGAAGGTTGGTTAAAGCAATGAGAAGATTGGTCGAAGCAATGAGAAGGTTGGTTAAAGCAAAGAGAAGGTTGGTTAAAGCGATGAGAAGGTTGGTTAAAGCAAAGAGAAGGTTGGTTAAAGCGATGAGAAGGTTGGTTAAAGCAATGAGAAGGTTGGTTAAAGCAATGAGAAGGTTGGTTAAAGCAGAGAAAAGGTAGGTTAAAGCGATGAGAAGAAGGTTGGTTAAAGCGATGAGAAGGTTGGTTAAAGCGATGAGAAGGTTGGTTAAAGCAATGAGAAGATTGGTTAAAGCAACTAGAAGACTGGCTAAGTGATTTCTGAGTTTTAGGGTTTGTTGTTTGCTTGGGTCTGATGTTCCGTGCCTTTAAAATCATCTATAATGTTCCAGAAGTAAATGATTTAATGCATCGATGTAAACTTTTTTCAAATGTCTCATTGTAATTAAAAAAATTAAAAACATGTATTGGTTTAAACTTTGTTTCAAAGCACACATTTAATCTTTTTTAAGCCCTCAGTTTAGTAGCCGCAGATTTTAAACCAAGGTGGCTTTGCGATTTCTTAGGTTTACATAACATGTTCTTTGGGATTATTTTATTTCCTAAATGTAATTAAATTAAATTAAAGTACAGTTGGTGAGGTGGAGGGCAAACTGCCTGCCTGCAATAATAAAAAAATTTTAAAAGTTGAAACTGAGATATGTCCTCCGTATCACCAGATTAAAGAAATAGTTCCAGATTTATTCACATCTGTACCGCCGGTCTTTCAACAAACTCTAACAAGGGAGGGCTTGTCAATCCAAGCCTTGAGAATCCCTCATGCATGTGTAAGTATGATAATCATCCTTACTAATCTTTACCAAAGACACAGTGTTATATCAGCAGGTAATTTGTAACATATTTTCATTGTAAAACGGCACCTTTTTTAAAATTTTATTTTTTAAATCTGAGATCTACCGTTCTTTATTCAAATTTGCAAGCAAAAATTGTAAGCAAAACTTGTATAGCACAACAGCAGACAGCTTTGATTTGAAACTTGCTCTGTCTTTCCTTAGAAACATTTGTCCAACAAAGAACTAAACAGTATTAAAGAAACGTCTTTGAAAGTTTCCCAGGATGAAGTGGTGAGTAGAGGAATTGAAATTTGTTGTCATTGATTCTCAAACATTTTTTGGGGGAGATTATGTTTTTAAATAGATCTGCTTGTGTCTGGCAATGCATGTAAACCTGTTCACTGTCGGGGTGGCCACATGACGGCTGTCAGTAGAGCCATATGACGGCTGTCAATAGATCTGCTTGTGTCTGGCAATACATTTACAATTCACTGTTGAGATAGACACATGAAGGCTGTCAATACACCACCAAGATATCTACAGCTGCCCCCACCCTGCATCTCACCAGCCCTACCTTTTCCCTCTTCAACCCCCTCTCCCCCTCACTCCCCACCCCCTCTCCCCCCCCCCCCCCCCCCCCCCCCTCAATACACCACCAAGATATCTACAGCTGCCCCCCCCCTGCATCTCACCAGCCCTACCTTTTCCCTCTTCAACCCCCTCTATCCCTCATTCACCACTCCCTCTGACATCCCCCCCCCCCCAACCCATGTATGTCCATGCACCAAACCTCTCCCACCATATCCCACTAACAACTCTCACCATGTCCATGCCCCCCCATCTATGCTGTTCGTTGCACATATCCAAACATTGTTTGCACTCAGCATGGATATGTATAAACACGTAATACATCAATAAACATAAAGAACACACTGCATGTCCATTGATCAATGCAGTCATCCCTTGCCATATCGCAGTTTACTTTTCGTCGTCTCACTATATTGCTGATTATTTTATTTGTCTATATCTTATATAGATACACATATAGAATTTAGGTGCTGGGTGGCCGAGCTGTCTAAACTGTCTCAAACCAAATAGTTGGTGGTCTGGAGTTCAATCCCCACCAAAGGCAACATCCCAAGCACCCCGGGTGGATGGGACTCGTTAGCCTTGAACGGCAACCCATCTAAGAGAAGGCAAACTCTGAATTTAAACCAGGAGCCAGAATGATCAACAAATTGATTGTGGGCCCCTCAAATATAAGAAGAAGAAGAATTTTTATATGTGTTTAAAGTATAGGAAGTGTTGATTAGAGAGTGGAAAAAGTTCTTAATTTATGGGAGTTTATAAGAGTATGGGATTGGATTTATAAAGCCTTAAAATAATAAATAAATAATAAATTAAAATATAAGGTTGGTACTTTGCAGATTTTTGCCTATCGCGTGTTCTACTTTCTCTCCTGGTTTCTGGAACATAACCCAAGCGATAAACAAGGTACCGCTGTATTTCACTGGTAAACTCTACAACAAATTTTATAAACAGGCAACACATGAAATGAGACAAAAATATAATTTAAATTGTTTATTTTGCTTACAACTGTATACAAGTTTACAGATTCATTGCAGTCCAATAGGATTATTCATATCAGTGCAGTCCAATACGATTTCATTGGATTATTCATATCATTGCAATCCAATAGGATTAGTCATATCATTGCAGCCCAATAGGCTTATTCATAACATCGCAAGATGTAATATTTAAACAAATGTGATTATTTCAACTTAGCATCATAAGTCACTGGGGTATTTATATTGTGTATATTTTGTCAGGGAAAAGTTGGGCCAAGTACGAGTTATATAAGGGTTATATCTACAAGACAGGAATGCGTTATCAAACAAGAGTAGCCAATGTCAATACCATTTGAATGAATGAACTCTATAAGCCTTAATAAAAGTGGGACCAAGTATCTTTGATATTGCAGGGCGTTAGAGCCGGCTCCAGACTGGAGCGGGATCTGCCCAGAGCTAGTGTTTTCACTCGTAGCGGAGCTGGAGCCAAAATGTTTGCTGGCATATTTGGCTCCAGTTCAATAGCTAATCTTCTATTCCAACTGCGAATGTTATTGTGTGCATTTTTAATTAATTTCTCGTTTGATAATTTAACTCACTTTATTTCTGAGGATGAATCAAGATTTTGCTGATTACTAAAGTTATACCAGCATTATTATACTTAAGTTATTTTCCTTTAAATATAATAAAAAATGTTTTACTCTGATTTATGTAAATTTATTTTGATTTGGTTTATTATTCGGAGCCGCTCGGGGTCGGAGCCAATTTTGAAACTTCTGCTCCCACGCCCTGGTGATATGGGTGATATTCACAGGACAATAGTGACCAGTTTCTGTACAGGTTGAATGAATGAACTCTGCAATGATCATTCCAGCGGGGTCACGCACCGTTGAACGCCGTTGGAGATCTGTCTAAGAACGATCATGAGATTTAATAGCTTGCAGTTGTCACAGCATATCAGAAATACCTGTGTGGGCGTGTCTTTAATAGTTACAGTATATCTGGCAGAGAAATCTGAGTATAGGGTTTGGGTTAGGTGGTTAAGGGGGGCTCATGCTGCCATTGCCAGCTTTGCAGATTTCAACTGTGAGAGGATCATGCAGTCTGATCATTGTTCCAAAAAATACCTAGACCAAATAATCTCTGTTTAGTGTTGCATTATTCAGAATGCCATTACTAACACTATAAACATCACCCATAGCATTGTCCATGGAAAGGCTGTGTGACAAGGATCGATAGGGGGGGGGGGGGCAACATCAGGGGGGTGGGGTGTCAGAAATGTTCTTAGATAGGTATTAATTGTGAATTAAACAAGAAAATCCCATGTACGTCACAAGANATTGCCAGCTTTGCAGATTTCAACTGTGAGAGGATCATGCAGTCTGATCATTGTTCCAAAAAATACCTAGACCAAATAATCTCTGTTTAGTGTTGCATTATTCAGAATGCCATTACTAACACTATAAACATCACCCATAGCATTGTCCATGGAAAGGCTGTGTGACAAGGATCGATAGGGGGGGGGGGGCAACATCAGGGGGGGGGGGTGTCAGAAATGTTCTTAGATAGGTATTAATTGTGAATTAAACAAGAAAATCCCATGTACGTCACAAGACAAAGGGCGCCCAAATCGTCTTTTTACTAAGCCTGTCGGCACTTTTAACTAAGCCTGGCGGCACTTTTAACTAAGCCTGGCGGCACTTTTAACTAAATATTGAGGGGCAGCATTTTCAGTCTGACTGTCATTGACTGATGTGCACTGTTAGTGCTTGGCTGGAGGGTGCTTGGCTTGGGGGGGGGTGATAATACTGTAGTGCTTGGCTGGAGGGTGCTAATACCGTAGTGCTTGGCTGGTTGGTGCTAATACCGTAGTGCTTGGCTGGATGGTGCTTGGCTGGGGGGGGGTTACTAATACCGTAGTGCTTGGCTGGGTGGTGCTAATACCGTAGTGCTTGGCTGGAGGGTGCTAATACTGTAGTGCTTGGCTGGGTGGTGCTAATACCGTAGTGCTTGGCTGGAGGGTGCTAATACCGTAGTGCTTGGCTGGGTGGTGCTAATACCCTAGTGCTTGGCTGGACGGTGGTGCTAATACTGTTCTGCTTGGCTGGAGGGCGCTAATACCGTAGTGCTTGGCTGGAGGGTGCTAATACCGTAGTGCTTGGCTGGAGGGTGCTAATATACCGTAGTTTGTATGCTAAGAGTTGTTGGGCTTCATTGGTAACGTGGTGCTGTTTACTACGTGTGATAGATGTCCTGTATGAAGAAACAAGTATGATGGTTTGTGTATGTCCTGTATGAAGAAACAAATATGATGGTTAGTGTATGTCCTGTAGGAAGAGTTGTTTACATCCTTTCAGAAAGAGTTTTGTATGTCTTGTACGAAGAGTTGTGTATGTCCTGTACGAAGAGTTGTGTATTGTCCTGTGTACGTCCGGTAGGAGGGGTTGTGGGTGTCTTAGGCCTCGTGCTGCTCTTATTTCCCGTATGTTCCGGAGAGCTTTGTTGGACTCACAGCCAGTCCGATGTGTTCCCTGTGGCCAGAAAGGGCTGCGAGATGGCTCGTCCAATGCTGGCACCGTAGCGCTCACCGCTGTCGGGTACTAGGCTGTTCTTGGCGAACGGTCGCTCGTCCGCGTAGTCCTGGGGCAGGTAGCTGTAGCTCTTGGACCGCGGCATGTTTGGGGGTCTGTACTCCTGGTCATCGGATCGTTGTCTACGGGGGTCGTGCTCAAAGTGGACCCCGGGTGGGTAGGGGTCATTTTGGTTGCTGGGCTGCGCGGCCGTCCTGGTGATGTCCCTTCTGCTTCTCGCCGGCATGGTCAAATAACCCTGACCCCTGTGGTAGCCTGGGATCATCCAGTAACGAGAGCCACCCCAGGTATCGGTGCTGTCCCGGCGGTGGGAAGGGTTTGAGTGCACAGCATAAGGCCCTCTGGCAGCCTCAGCTCTGTATCTGTTATCCCCTCTGTAGTAGTGTCCCCTGTCGAGACCTCTTCTCTCCCTTTCCATTAGATAATCAGCCTGAACAGAAGGGGCCATGACTCCGGACTCGAAGCTGTCCCGGTGAATTGGTCTTACGTTCACGTAATCATTTTCTGTTCTGCCCGGCTGTCGTTCATGATCTTTTAAGCGCCTGTCCACATAGCCGTGCCTTGCCCGCTCCACCAATCTTCTATACCTTCGGTCACTGTCTCTCCTTCCTCCAAGGGGGTCCCAGTTATCTCCAGGCAAGGTCAAGCTCTGATCTTTAAATTTCCCATGGCGCGGGCCGTCCATGACATTGTCCTTGACCTGCGTGCTTCTTACTTCCGGTCTATACCCATAACTCTCACCGCTTCCCCAAGGGACGTAACCTTTCAACCTTCTCAAAGCCTCGTACTTGTCGTATCTTCTGTCTTTCCTGGCCAGGGCCTCCTGAATCTCATCGTCGATTTCTTGCCTCGTCATCCTGATGTAATCTATCTTTTTGTTCCGCCACTCCTCCTCCAGTTTCTCCGCGAGCTTTTTCTTCCACGCCCGCCTCTCCCTCTTCCACCTCCGGTAGACCCTGTACCCCGCGCTCCCCGCCACCCCGCTGATCACGAGGAAGACGCCGATGGATCCAAAGATGATGACGTATATCATGGCGCTGTTGCACTCGAGATCCCCGGTGTCCCATTCCGTGGCGTGCGCCCCCGCCCGGCGCGCCGGGCCGTGGCAGCTGTACGCCGTGGAGTTGGGCCCGTACAGGCCGACCACGACCGAGGCCATCCTCTTCAGCCAGTCCCTGAACGCCAGCATGTCGCACGTGCAGTCCAGGGGGTTGTAGGACAGGTCGATCTGTCGGATCTTGGGCAGGTCCCTGAAGATCTTCGGCATGATCGTTTTCAGGTGGTTGTGTTTGAGGGAAATGTCCCTGAGTTTGACCAGCGGCAGGAGCATCTGCTCGTGGAGCTGGGAGATGTTGTTGTAAGCCAGGTCCAGAACCTCCAGGTTTTCAAGGTTTCTGAACAGCAGCAGCCAGGAGACGTTGTTGATTTGGTTGTGGGAGACGTTGAGGGACCTGAGGCTGATGTGATACTGGAGCAGGTCCTCGTGGACAGTGTCCAGTTGGTTGGACGACAGATCCAGGCTCTCCGCCCCGCTCATGCCTTTGAAAGCCTTGCCGTCGATGAAAACCAGTTTGTTGTTGTTTAGATACAACCTCTGCGTCGCCACCCATTTGGTCGGCCCGATTCGCGTGAGGGAGTTATGGGACAGGTCGATGAAGAGCGGGGACTGCGGCAAGAAGGCGTGGTCGTGAATGGCGGTCAGCTTATTGCGACTGAAGTCTGCCACCTTGAGGAATTTGGCTCCTCTGAACATCGAGTCCGTCAACGATTCCAGCTTGTTGTCGCTGAGGTCAACATACTCAAGGCTCGTCGCGTCGTCGACCCCGTGGAAGCGCTCTATGTTGTTGGACTGGTACTCCAGTCTGGTCAGGGTGGACGTGTTGCTCGGGAGGACGACGGACGACAAGCGGTTGTGGTCGGCGATCAGATGCCTGAGCTTCACAAGGGAAGAGAGCTGGACCGATCCGGAGCTGTTGAGGGAATTGTACGACAGGACGAGCGTCTGAAGATTCCCCAGGCTGGACACCGCACCCCCCTGAAAGCTGGTCAGGGCGTTGGCCGAGATGTTGAGAACTCTTAAGTTCCGCAGGCTGGTGAAGCCGACGGTGAGCGCTGGGAGGTTGTTGTGGCTGATGTCGAGCTCCCTCAGGGCGGGGATGTTGGCGAAGACGTTCGCGGGGAGGTCGCCGATGCTGTTGTGGGAGATGTTGAGAGTTTTGAGAGACAACTCTTGCGCCTCGGTGAACAGGCTGCCCACGCTGGACAACCCCATGTAGGCCAGGGAGAGCTGCGCCAGGCTGCTGGACCGCAGATTTGTAAGCATGGCGCTGAGTTGCGCTAGTGTCACCCCCATGTTGCCGGACAAGTCCAGTGATCTCAGATTTGGAATTTTCTGGAAACTCTGAGCGCTGACGTTGGTTATGCGGCAGAAGGACAGATTGATGGTCCGCTGGACTCGCGGGGACCACTCGGACGCAATGTCAAACGAGTTGTCTCTGACAGCAGTGAAATTGTTGTAAGAGAGGTCAATGTGCATAATGTCTTTGGGAACCTGGGGAGAGAATAAAAAAGTTAACAAAAAGTTAACCTGCTGTTAAATGACTGACCCGGCTGTTAAGTGACTAGCTGACCACTGCTGTTACGTGACTAACTCATAGGAGCCAGAATGATCAATTCATTGATCGTGGGCCCTCAAAATAAAGAAGAAAAATAAAGAAGAAGAACTGACCACTGCTGTTAAGTGACTAAATGACCGATGCTGTAAAGCGACTAAATGACCGCTGCTGTTAAGCGACTGAGCGTACTGACCTGAAACCTTGGCATCAGTCTGAGGTCCGACAGGTGGTTGTGTGCTAGTTTCAGTGTCTGCAGCCTGGTCAGGTAGGCCAGGATGTTGTCTGGGATCGCCGTCAGGAGGTTGTGGCTCAGGTCCAGGTGCTCCACGCTGCTGGCGTCCGTGAAGATGTTGTCCTGCAGCGCCCGCAGCTTGTTCCAGCCCAGCTTGACCACCTTGAGACCCTGGAGCCCCCGGAAGATGCAGCCGCGGAGCTCGGTCAGGCCGTTCCTGGACAGGTCGAGCTCGACGAGGCCGGGCATTGCGGCGAACACGTCCGAGTCGTTGATGGAGGGTCCCAGGGTGTTGTTGGACAGGTCAAGGGTCAAGGTGGAGGTGGGGGCTTTAGGAGGGGCTTGGAGCTGGAGGTTCGCACAGTTGACATTGGCATCGGCGCACGTGCAGCGGAGAGGACAGAAGGAGGCGGAGCTTTGGTCGGAGAGGATGAGGCACACCGCCAGTGCCCAGAGGACTGACATCGTGTGCCTATGTGTTGTTGTCATCAGGATGTCACGTAATGCCACCTGTCGATATAGACAATAATTTTGTTCATGGGGTCTAGTGTCTCGAGTGAATTGTATTTGTAGTTTGTTATGTTTGTTTTCTTTTTTTTATTAGCCATAATAAATGTAAATTCAACTCTCCTAAATTACTTCCTTATATGGAACATCATTAACTTCCTCCATCTACGACATCTCCCATCTACGACTCATCTATGACTTCTCTCATCTACAACTTCTCCCATCTAAAATATCTCCCATGTACGACTTCTCCCATCTACTACTTCTCCGATCTATCCTACGTGCTTCCTGTTAACTCAAGTCTCGGTCTGTAATGGAGCATCAATGACTTCACCCACCCACCCACCCTCATCACTCCATGGTAAGGCCCACATATTCTGTCAGTAATGGACCATCTACGTCTTCTAACATCGACGGCTGCTCTCATCGACCATTTCTCCCATCTAATCCTAAGTGCCTCCTGTTAACTCAAGTCTCCTGTCAGCAATGCCTAGTTCAGCCCTGCCACCATTGTGTCGACCAAAAACCCAACAACACCGACCTTGCTGGGGGCTTGTAACTGAGCCCACTGTCTATACACACAAATTTGACTTTTCCTGAAAATCGAAAAGTGGGCCAGAGTGTCGGTGTGCTGATAAAATATGAAGCGTTTCGCTCCCAGTTCAAAGTGTGCTTTTTAAAAACATTAGGTTCGAACAATTGGCTGCCTTAAATTAGGGGTGCGTGCCTCGTCTTGTCGGCCATGTGCCTGAAGGGCAATGGATACCCCCGGGACCTTGGTCCGCGCGTCGGCGGTGCCAGACTTAGTTCATCATTTCATTGACACAAAAGCAAACGCAGAAGCCTTTATTTTGTAGGTGGCTTGATTATAGCAACGTTCTATACGGTGCTGAAATCAAGGTGTTGTTGTTGGTTTTTTATAATTCCTGTCAGCGTTTCGCCGATACCACGACATTGTTTCACCCAAACCACGTACCACACACACACTAAGGTGATTAATAAATCATAAGAATAAGGTTATGTTGACTTAGCAATGCTATTCCTGTAAGATTTTCTTGACGTAGCAATGCTACTTGCTATTCCTGTAAGGTTATCTTGACATAGCAATGCTACTTGCTATTCTTGTAAGGTTATCTTGACATAGCAATGCTACTTGCTATTCCCGTAAGGTTATCTTGACATGGCAATGCTAACCGTTATTTCTATAAGATTGTCTTGACGTGGCAATGCTACCTGTTATTCCTGTAAGATTGTCTTGACATGGCAATGCTACCTGTTATTCCTATAAGATTATCTTGACATGGCAATGCTACCTGTTATTCCTATAAGATTGTCTTGACGTGGCAATGATACCTGTTATTCCTGTAAGATTGTCTTGACATGGCAATGCTATCTGTTATTCCTATAAGATTGTCTTGACATGGCAATGCTACCTGTTATTCCTATAAGATTGTCTTGACATGGCAATGCTACCTGTTATTCCTATAAGATTGTGTTCACGTAGCAATGCTACTTGTTATTCCTACTAAGCGTAAGACCCTGCTCTCTCCCATCAAAAGCTTTAACCTCGGGACCGTGTATTTCTATGTTGGTGTCACCCCCACCCCCCCCCACACACACACCCCACACATCGCTCTCTAATTGACTCAATCGACTTGTTGATTGCCATTCTTCTTGCTCTATTCTTTCACCTCCGCCTTGGTTTACCCCGATACAGGACCTTCTCAACGCAGAGATAAACCCAGGACATATCCCAGGACTCAAAGGGCCCTATCATAACCCAGGAGATATCCCAGGACTCAAAGGGCCCTATCATAACCCAGGAGATATCCCAGGACTCAAAGGGCCCTATCATAACCCAGGAGATATCCCAGGACTCAAAGGGCCCTATCATAACCCAGGAGATATCCCAGGACTCAAAGGGCCCTATCATGTCATACTGTTTACGTGGGATTTATGGTAGTAGAGTGGGAAATTTAGTGACCGCCTGCTGGAAAGTGCCAAGTCTTCCCCCCCCCCCTTTTTTTTTCTCCCCCCCCCCCATCTGGTCTACGGCTTTCCCCAGGGATCCAGGCGACACGCCACTCATAGAATACACTCAACTAGATATTTATTTGAGAAGCACTTTGCGTATCAATAGGTCAGATAGAAGGCATAGGGAAGTTAAGCCCCCATTACGCATCAAAAGGTCAGGTAGAGGGCGTAGGGAAGTTAAGCCCGAATAAAGAGATTCACGTTATACTTTTTTGCATTACTGTCACTAACTCTGAAACCCCAGGGTCAAAGTCACGCGTGGGCGCTTCTCATCTCTATAAATAGGTAACATGCCCGCAACGGTTACACCAGGTTCATCATATCTCGAAAATGTTCAGTTCTAAGAAGCGGGGTATGTTGGAGAGCGACAGCTTCCAGAATACCACAAGTTCGTTTTGGGGAAAGGGGGGGGGGGGGGGGATGGGAACACCCAGGAGCCCTATAGGATGGTGACAGCAAGGTTACTCATTTTTATTGTATTCGAGAAACACAGACACTTAGACACAAACTTTCCATGATCAAATACCTGGGATCTCCTTTATCTCCAGTCCAACTTCCCCGAAGACTCGACTTAAAGGAACCAGATTTGCTTAGAAGAACAAGGTCAGTGCGACCTGGTGTTGTGGTACAATCCCGAAGAGAATCCGTTGTGGTACTATGGTCAACAGAATCCGTTGTGGCACTATTGTCAAGAGCAACCGTTGTGGCACTATTGTCACTAGCAACCGTTGTGGCACTATGGTCAAGAGCATCCGTTGTGGCACTATTGTCAAGAGCATCCGTTGTGGCACTATTGTAAAAAAAAAAAGCCTGTAGTAGTACTATGGTCAACAAAATCCGTAGTAGTACTATGGTCAACAAAATCCGTAGTAGTACTATGGTCAACAAAATCCGTAGTAGTACTATGGTCAACAAAATCCGTAGTAGTACTATGGTCAACAAAATCCGTGGTAGTACTATGGTCAACAAAATCCGTTGTAGTACTATGGTCAACAAAATTCCGTAGTAGTACTATGGTCAACAAAATCCGTAGTAGTACTATGGTCAACAAAATCCGTAGTAGTACTATGGTCAACAAAATCCGTAGTAGTACTATGGTCAACAAAATCCGTGGTAGTACTATGGTCAACAAAATCCGTTGTAGTACTATGGTCAACAAAATTCCGTAGTAGTACTATGGTCAACAAAATCCGTAGTAGTACTATGGTCAACAAAATCCGTGGTAGTACTATGGTCAACAAAATCCGTTGTAGTACTATGGTCAACAAAATTCCGTAGTAGTACTATGGTCAACAAAATCCGTAGTAGTACTATGGTCAACAAAATCCGTAGTAGTACTATGGTCAACAAAATCCATGGTAGTACTATGGTCAACAAAATCCGTGGTAGTACTATGGTCAACAAAATCCGTTGTAGTACTATGGTCAACAAAATCCCGTAGTAGTACTATGGTCAACAAAATCCGCAGTAGTACTATGGTCAACAGAATCCGTTGTACTATGGTCAACACAATCCGTTGTAGTACTATGGTCAACAAAATCCGTAGTAGTACTATGGTCAACAAAATCCATAGTAGTACTATGGTCAACAGAATCCGTTGTAGTACTATGGTCAACAAAATCCGTAGTAGTACTATGTCAACAAAATTCCGTAGTAGTACTACGGTCAACAAAATCCGTAGTAGTACTATGGTCAACAAAATCCCGTAGTAGTACTATGGTCAACAAAATCCGTTGTAGTACTTTGGTCAACAAAATCCCGTAGTAGTACTATGGTCAACAAAATCCGCAGTAGTACTATGGTCAACAAAATCCCGTAGTAGTACTATGGTCAACAAAATCCGTAGTAGTACTATGGTCAACAAAATCCGTAGTAGTACTATGGTCAACAAAATCCGTAGTAGTACTATGATCAACAAAATCCCGTAGTAGTACTATGGTCAACAAAATCCGTAGTAGTACTATGGTCAACAAAATCCGTTCTGGTACAGTTGTCAACAGGATCCGTTGTGGTCCAATCCAGTCCTGTTATGACCGCTTGCCCCAGTGCAACGCTGTACGCGGCCACTCACGTGAGCTGACTCTCTGCACTGGTCAAACTCGTTATGTTCAGACTTGGTTGTCGGGCCATGCTTGCACGCTCTCCGTTGATAACGCTGTCGCCACGGCATGTTATCATAGCTGGTGTTGGATTACACTTGGGCCCCTTCCCCGTTTGCATGTGAGTCCAGAGTTTGAGAACACGTATCCCCTTTCCCTGTTTGCATGTGAGTCCAGAGTTTGAGAACACTTATCCCCTTTCCCCGTTTGCATGTGAGTCCAGAGTTTGAGAACACTTATCCCCTTTCCCCGTTTGCATGTGAGTCCAGAGTTTGAGAACACTTATCCCCTTTCCCCGTTTGCATGTGAGTCCAGAGTTTGAGAACACTTATCCCCTTTCCCCGTTTGCATGTGAGTCCAGAGTTTGAGAACACCTAATCTCCCCTTCCCTCTTTACACCTGACCGTGGGTCGAGAGTTTGGACATCATTAGAGCTCCTGAACCCCCTCCCCCCCCCCTTTTTTTTTACCCCTCTCCCACATACGTCACTTCCACTGAATCTTTCAAAACTGCACAGTTTCAAATTATTACTTTCACAGACCTGTTTACCCTTAAACTCTTAAAATTGTACAATATCATCACATAATCGTTCAATACATTCTCTTTATAGAAAAAAAACGTGCAGTATATATAATTTATACACCTCAAAATCGTACATGTACGCCAAAATCGTAAGAGTAAACAGGTCTGCTTTCATGTTTTCCCTCTTACTATCATGTCCTATACTTACTTTCATGTCCTTTACTCTCATTTCATGCTAAGAGTGAATATACCCGCGGCATCCTCCCAGACTACTTTTAATGATTGCCATCCGTGAACTGTGGGGGTTGGGAGGGAAATGATTGCCATCCGTGAACTGTGGGGGTTGGGAGGGAAATGATTGCCATCCGTGAACTGTGGGGGTTGGGAGGGAAATGATTGCCATCCGTGAACTGTGGGGGTTGGGAGGGAAATGATTGCCATCCGTGAACTGTGGGGGTTGGGAGGGAAATGATTGCCATCCGTGAACTGTGGGGGTTGGGAGGGAAATGATTGCCATCCGTGAACTGTGCGGGTTGGGAGGGAAATGATTGCCATCCGTGAACTGTGGGGGTTGGGAGGGAAATTTGATCATCCGCGACCCTGTGACGACGCCCCTGTGACGACGCCCCTGTCACAACGCTCGCACCGGAAACCCGAGACGCCTTATCTTAATTGCTGGACGGGTCGCATGAGTCTTGGGACATTGTTTAACACCAGACTGGTGCGCCCAGAACCCAGACTGGTGCGCCCAGAACATCGGATCACCCCGTCAGGACAACCGTGGGACGTTTGGCCTCGGTGGTCTCAACCAATAACCCGGTCAACGGCGAATGGGGGGCGACGGTCTCACCGGGTCTTGCGCCAGATGGCGACCATAATGTAGCCCGTCGGTGCATGTGCCCTTCCGCCAGGCCATGTGCACCTCTCTCTGCCAGACTTGTGCATCTCCACCAGGCCATGTGCACCTCTACCAGACTATGTTCCCCTCCGCCAGGCCATGTGCACCTCTCTCTGCCAGACTTCTGCATCTCCACCAGGCCATGTGCACCTCTACCAGACTATGTTCCCCTCCGCCAGGCCATATGCACCTCTCTCTGCCAGACTTGTGCATCTCCACCAGGCCATGTGCACCTCTCTCTGCCAGACTTGTAGATCTCCACCAAGCCATGTGCACCTCTACCCGACTATGTGCCCCTCCGCCAGGCTAGGTGCCCACATACCAGTACCCCGCTGGCTTTTTTTATAGGACCTGTTGTCATTCGTTGTGACAACCAACCACATTCTTTGTGTTCAATGGCCAACCACATTCTTTGTGTTCAATGGCCAACCACATTCTTTGTGTTCAATGGAAAACCACATTCTTTGTATTCAATGGCCAACCACATTCTTTGTGTTCTATGGCCAACCACATTCTTTGTGTTCTATGGCAAACCACATGATTTGTGTTCAATGGCCAACCACATTCTTTGTGTTCAATGGCCAACCACATTCTTTGTGTTCAATGGCCAACCACATTCTTTGTGTTCTATGGCCAACCACATGATTTGTGTTCAATGGCCAACCACATTCTTTGTGTTCAATGGCCAACCACATTCTTTGCTATAATTGGCCAACCACATTCTTAGCTATAAATGGCCAACCACATTCTTTGCTATAAATGGCCATCCACATTCTTTGCTATAAATGGCCAACCACATTCTTTGCTATAAATGGTCAACCAAATTCTTTGCTATAAATGACCAACCCCATTCTTTGCTATAAATGGCCAACCACATTCTTTGCTATAAATGGCCATCCACATTCTTTGCTATAAATGGCCAACCACATTCTTTGCTATAAATGGTCAACCAAATTCTTTGCTATAAATGACCAACCCCATTCTTTGCTATAAATGGCCAACCACATTCTTTGCTATAAATGCCCAGCCACGTTCTTTGCTATAATCGGCCAACCATATTCTTTGCTATAAATGGCCAACCTCATTCTTTGCTATAAATGGCCAACCACATTCTTTGCTATAAAGACCAACCACATTCTTTGCTATAATTGCCCAACCACATTCTTTGCTATAAATGGCCATCCACATTCTTTGCTATAAATGGCCATCCACATTCTTTGCTATAAATGGCCAACCACATTCTTTGCTATAAATGGCCAACCCCATTCTTTGCTATAAATGGCCAACCCCATTCTTTGCTATATATGGCCAACCAAATTCTTTGCTATAAATGGCCAACCCCATTCTTTGCTATAAATGGCCAACCTCATTCTTTGCTATAAACGACCAACCACATTCTTTGCTATAAACTGCCAGCCACATTCTTTACAATAAACTGCCAACCACATTCTTTGCTATAAATGGCCATCCACATTCTTTGCTATAAATGGCCAACCACATTCTTTGCTATAAATGGTCAACCAAATTCTTTGCTATAAATGACCAACCCCATTCTTTGCTATAAATGGCCAACCACATTCTTTGCTATAAATGCCCAGCCACGTTCTTTGCTATAATCGGCCAACCATATTCTTTGCTATAAATGGCCAACCTCATTCTTTGCTATAAATGGCCAACCACATTCTTTGCTATAAAGACCAACCACATTCTTTGCTATAATTGCCCAACCACATTCTTTGCTATAAATGGCCATCCACATTCTTTGCTATAAATGGCCATCCACATTCTTTGCTATAAATGGCCAACC